GGAGGATGTGACTCTAGACGTACCCTAAGAAAAAAGCGTACGCGCTGAGCCGACAATCAGCTGATCGGCTCAGCGCGGCAGCCATGTAAATTTAAATGAAGCGGCAATTATTTAAATCGCCGCTTCATTTTCCTATGCCGGGTAGCCTAATCTACATGCCTCTGGCGACAGAGGCATGTAGTCTAGACGTACCCTTAGACATAAAAACAAGCAAAGGACATAGGAAGGACATGGTAATGTCTCCTGGCAACCAGAACGTGCTCAGAAATGCATTCTTATAACCAGGGCTTGACAAACCGCGGCAAAATCTACTCACCAGCCCCGCACTGCGCATGCGCAAGACCCGCATTGCGCGTGCGCGTGCCGCCGGTGAACAGGGTGAACGGCTGAAATCTACTCGCCATGGGCGAGTAGATTCACTGATTTGTCGAGCCCTGCTTATAAAATGTTGTCCCACATGCATTAGAAATAAGCCATTACAAAGACAAAGCAGGAGTAGAAATCTTTAGATTTAAACAGAAACTTTGAACAACTGGGCAGTGTCAAAAATTTCAAATGACCTACAAACTGCTCCAGTAATTTGACCATAATCCAGAGCTGGGATGTGCACCTCTTGCAGTCAGAACGGTATGTAGCTGAATGTTTACCTTCATGGTGGGGTCCTTCTCCACTAGAGGACGACAGTACACAGGCACAGGGACATTTTTCATGCGGGTGTCTTCCTGGCCACCATTGGGACTCAGCTGTGGAGGAAGAGGAGGCAGGAAAGAAAGAACAAGGTAGTGAGATAATTAAAAACCATGCTATAACAGAGCTATCACTATAAAGGCATAACAAAAAACCATTAGCCTTAGAAAGACCTTGCAGTTTCTCACTGCCAATGCTTGTGTATACAGGCAGTCCCCGACTTACGCGGATCCGACTTATGTCGGATCCGCACTTACGAACGGGGCTTTCTCGTCCCGGAGCTCACAGGCAGTGATCCGCCACCTCGACCTCCGGGGCAAGAAAAGCTGCTCCCAGTGCCCCTGGTCTGCTGGACGAGGGGATGGATTGCACCCTCAGCAAGTTTGCAGATGACACTAAGCTAGGGGGGAGGTAGATACGCTGGAGGGCAGGGATAGGGTCCACAGTGACCTAGACAGATTAGAGGATTGGGACAAAAGAAATCTGATGAGGTTCAACAAAGACATGTGTAGAGAGTCCTGCACTTGAGATGGAAGAATCCCAAGCATAGTTACAAGCTGGGGACCAACCAGTTAAGTAGCAGGTCTGCAGAAAAGGACCTGGGGGTTACAGGGGATGAGAAGCTGGATATGAGTCAACAGTGTGCCCTTGTAGCCAAGAAGGCTAATGGCATATTAGGTCGCATTAAGAGGAGCATTGCCAGCAGATCTAGAGAAGTGATTATTCCCCTTTATTCGGCTTTGGTGAGGCCACATCTTGAGTACTGTGTCCAGTTCTGGGCCCTCCACTATAGAAAGAATGTGGACGCACTGTAGAGGGACCAGCGGAGGGCAACCAAAGTGATTAGGGGACTGAAGGACACAATCTATGAGGAGAGGCTGAGGGACTTGGGTCTATTTAGTCTGCAGAAGCGAAGAGTGAGGGGGGATTTGATAGCAGCCTTCAACTTCCTGAAGGGAAGTTCCAAAGAGGATGAAGAAAGGCTGTTCTCAGTAGTGACGGATGGCAGAACAAGGAGGTCTAGGTTGGATTTTAGGAAAAACTATTTCACTAGGAGGGTGGTGAAGCACTAGGATGGGTTACCTAGGGAGGTGGCATCTCCATCCCTGGAGTTATTTAAATCTCGGCTTGACAAAGCCCTGGCTGGGTTGATTTAGTTGGGATTGGTCCTGCCTTGGGCAGGGGGCTGGACTTGGATGACCTCCTGAGGCCTCTTGCAGCTCTAGGATTCTAAGAGAACTCCTCCTCCAATGATTGCAGAGAGCATACAGAAACTATGAGTTTGACCCAAGCCCATCAAACAGACAGCATGTGTCTGTACTAGATTTAATTCCAATGCTGTACCAACAACCAGTAACTCTACCATTAGGGGAAGCTGGGTCTCTGTTGGTTTCATTTGGGATTGTGGATAGCCTGTTCATCCCCTTCAGCCTTGTAGCACATGGTTCCTACCTGCTTGTACTTTGCAGGAAGGCTCCATCCACAGGCCTGTAATCGACCGTCGTCATTCCGCACATGCTCTCGGACTTGGCGGTACTGCTCACGCTTCTGTTCACGACGTGCGGATGATGTACAGTCACTGAGGAGAGAAGCAACAGTGTTACTTCTCAATCTATGGTTAAAAACAGAGGCAGATGGTCAAGGATGCGTTGCCGTGGCAGGTGGAAAAAAGCAGAAGTCAAAGAATACAAAAAAGGAAATAAAAGTGTCTTTGACAAGGAGAAAAGGAGGAGCTGGAAACCAGATATAAAAGCGCTAATGGAAGGAGAACCCAGGGAAGTCCTAATCATTAGCTCCCTCATCCATTATGGTAGAACAAGCTCTTGTCACTTGACTTGCAACACTCCTAACCCTTCAGAGATGGTTCAAGGAGAGGAGACCACAGCCCGAGCCCTGACATCCCAGGTTCGGGGAGAGGAGTCCGCAGCCTGAGCTCCTCTATCCCAGGTGGGGATGAACAGCACTCTACCATCATATAATTTAAGAGCTGGTTAGACAAACATCTATCAGGGATGATCTAGATGGTGCTTGGTCCTGCCATGGGGGCAGGGGACTGGACTCGATGACCTCTCGAGGTCCCTTCCAGTCCTAGTGTTCTATGATTCTATAATCCAAACTCTTTCCACAAAACACAGCAACTCAAAAGCTCAAAGCTGAAAATCACAGAGCACATGCAATAAAAGCAAAGCATTAAAGTACACTGTGGCAGTGGCTCAAAGTGGGGAGAGGAAAGAAATTCTGCAGCATCAACAGCTGAATGGTCCTCTTCCAATGCTAAAAGTGTGAAAATCAAATACTCCAGCTTGGTCAGTGCTGCGGAGAAAGCATCCAGGAGTCTCCAGTTGAGCCTGGGAGAGGACAGAGGGTACAGGCTCTGTCCTGCTGCTGGTGGAGACTTCAGCATTTCTACCAAAGCCCTTCCTCTTCCTTCCACTCAGCCCAATCAGACCATATGGTCAGAACATGATCTAGACCTAGTGGACAAATGAACAATAGAGCCACCTTGCTCCTGGCTCATCTAGGTGAAATCTCATCATGGCCTAAGCAGCACAAGATAAAACCAGAGATCTCACATTTGGGAAGACAGTGCACTGCTAATCTGCTAAACCTGCCCCAGGGAGAAGTGAGGGTGAAAGATCAGGTGGAGATACACAAGCACCTACAGAGAGTTCGCAGTTAAGGATAAACAGCTTCAATAACAAGTCCGCTGAGAAAAAGCCCATTTTAAAGCAATTTTGCTGTCATTTGGCTGAGCTGCAGACGGTTAGGCAGAGCAGCAGCAAGGTCTGGCTTTGCACATAGCAAGTGACTCACTCTTCAGGGAAGAATTCTAGGGTGCGGTTGCCTGAAGAGATCTGGCACATGGTATGGCTGCGGCGTTGGCTGAACCCAGCTGCTGTTGGAGACTTATAGTGGATATTCACCGATGGGTAATTCCTCTTCGCAGGTGGGGGGCTGGAGGAAGAGCTGAACAGGCGACTAAAGCTGGGGATGGAGAGAAGCCAACAAATAAGAACGAGAAAAGCAGAAGGAAAATGCAATACAGATTCAAAATACAAAAGCAACAAGCAAAAGAACAGCAGTCCTGAAAACCCTTCCAAGAAACTGCCCACATCTGAATGCATTGTCCATTAGCACTAGGAGATGGGCTTATGTCTGTGTGGCTTCACCAATGCTGGCTACCCTGTTCTGTTGACTTACGAGGAGAGGCTGAGGGATTTGGGCTTATTTAAGTCTATAGAAGAGAAGAATATGGGGAGACTTGATAGCAGCCTTCTACTTCCTGAAAGGGGGTTCCAAAGAGGATGGAGAGAGACTGCTCTCAGCAGTGGCAGATGGCAGAACAAGGAGCAATGGTCTCAAGTTGCAGCGGGGAGGTCTAGGTTGGATATTAGGAAAAACTATTTCATTAGGAGGGTGGTAAAGCACTGCAATGGGTTACCTAGGGAGGTGGTGGAATCTCCGTCTTTAAGAGGTTTTTAAGGCCAGGCCTGACAAAGCCCTGGCTGAGATGATTTAAATGGGGGTTGGTCCTACTTTGGACAGGGAATTGGACTCTATGACCTTCTGAGGTCTCTTCCAACCCCTATGATCAGTTATGCTGTGATCACTGTCTCTTGATATAAACTAATTCTGAGTATGTGAGAGAATCTATTCTACCTCTCCAGTCTCAGATGTAAGTAATCTCCACAGGGTTTATAAAACAAGTCGTGTAATTTAGATCTGATTTTCATTTTACCAAAATCAATGATGTTTTTGCGGTAAAGTGGCTCAGATAATAGCTTACAATTTTGACTCATCTCTACTTAGATTCTGTTTCTGGTGCTATCAAGCTGATGCCTAAAATAGTAAGAGCAACACTAGCATCTTTTAAGTCTACCGAGGCTATCCAGTAACTTACAATTGCCAAATGGTGGACTTCTTCTTCTCCTGGACAGATGGGTGCTCCCGGGAAGCTCTGAGGAAAATGTTTCAAAGAACCATTAATTTCAGCATTATGTGAAGATGTTGTTTTCCCTTTTACCTAGCATCAGGCCAGCTGGTTGGCTCCAGCTGCAAAGAGGGGAGAGAGTGCAGACTTAGGAGTCCTTCATTCAAGAATTTATTCTGGAAACATGGGTCAAAGGATGACATGATCAAAAGGAGCCACCTGCAGTAATGAAAGGAGACTAGAGTAGATTGTGTGTCTGTGTGTGTATGATGTGGGAACAAATGCTATAAATTTAAAGTGGCATCAGCTCCAATCACTACCCGGTCCAGTCAGACACTGGTAATCAGAGGCTAAGATATTCTTTCATTTTTAGCTGTAGCCACAGATATTCATTCATTCAGGGGCACCCTTAATCCTGATTTTCCATGTTATAAGGTACATACAGGAAACCTTCCAAGATTCTTCTTAGCTAGCAGGATCAACCCTGAACACAACCTCTCAGGGCCTCCATGTAACTCTGGGAAGTTGTGTCCTTATTCTCTGCTGCAGCCCAGCTATTAGAACCAGGAAAGAAAGTTTTAAGCCCGCTATGTTCTAAAAACCTTCAGCAATTCACAATCTGAGTTCTTTATTTGGGTCCCACCAATTGTAAGGTCCAACCCACAGGCAAAACATGTGACAGGAGTCTGCCCCAACCACTTCTGTACAGGAACACCCAGCCTCACCTGATCATCTCTGTCCACCTGACAGCTTCCTGTAGTTCCATGAGCCTCTCTTTGTACTGGTTGCGCTCCATCAGGACACGGGCCATCTCTACACGGGTAAAGCGGCGGCGCTGGGCTATGGGAATGTTATCCTGCAGGGGGGAGGAGCACTGCTTCAGCCAACAAGAAATGGGAGGGGATGAGGTTAGTAAAGAGGAAGTCAGGAGGTGAAATACAATTGTTACTTGACTGCCTATCTTGTTTAATGTTTCCCCTCCCACCCGAGGCTTTAACTGTAGCCAAATGGCCCCACCAGCAGCAGTTTGGGACAAAAGCAGGGAGCATCATGAAACAACATTTGTTCATAAGGAGCAAAGAGGGAGGAGGCATCCTGCTCATTTTCAATGAGCAGAGAAAATGGTGGAGCAGGAGGAACTGCTACTACTGTTAGGCAAGGAAAGGGCTTTTCCTAGTCACATGGCACGACTGCACTCACCTGCTCTCTCTCAGGGTTTTGCTGATTGTAAGGCGGATGCCAAGGAGGCACTTCCTCCCTTTAACCACTGCAGCATGGAGAAAAGGACATGGGCAAAACTCCCCAGCTAGCCAGTGATCAAGGCTACAGATTAGGATGGGGCACAACAAGCATGCTCAGCTACCAGACCAGGAAGGAAAAGCCAGTTGTAAGGGGAGCACAGAACATTCTGCAGGATTCACTAGACAGAGACCTGGGAGAGACATGGGCACATAGTCCTTGCACTCAAAGAGCTCCCTGGTGGTAGGCTTTTACAGACTGAAATATACTAAGTGGCTCTCGTGGTTCAACCCTCAAAACTTAAAATTCCAATGTTCTTAGTAGTCACCTATGAAATTAGAAAAAATGAATCACTGAAAATACAAGGTCAGGCAAATACTGGCATTTGAAAAACCAGAGAATTTCTGTGTGGCTCAGAATTTCTTGCCACATGTCAATCACTCAGGTAAGACGTCCAGCAAGTCACAAGTGTAGGGTTCAAGCTGGTTAGTTCCTCTCTGCCAACTCCCAGCAAGAAAAGGTTACTCACTCTAACTGTGATTCTTCAGGATGTGACGCAGATGTGTATTCCACTTAGGTATGTGCATGCCCAGTGCACCAAATCCAGAGCCTGTTGCCTGGTGTGCAAGTTCCCATAGAGGGGCAATTCCCATAGAGGGGCAGTATTTATGGTTGTGGCCCCTGCCCTGGCTATATGAAGCAGCACTGCCCTGACCTCCCTCAATTCCTTTACACTGAAATCTGGTGAGGAGACTCTGATACAGAGGGCGGTTCAACACACCTTGAATTGCTACAGTTACAATAAATAACCATTTTTTTCTTCTCAAGTAGATGCAGACATGTATTCCACATAGGGGACTTGTCAGCAGTGTTCCCTATAAGCGGTGTGCTTGTGTGGCCATTCAGAGATTCAAATACCACCTGGCTAATTAGAGGAGTGCCCACAACTAGGTTTTTGTTTCTAGTGGCGATGCACACTCGCACATTCCCCAGTGCATACACAATTTATTCTGTACAAGGATGAAAAAATCCACACCAGAATGGAAATATTAGAGGGAACATTATGCAAGCAGTAATCCAATCTGGTGGCAGGGCTCTGAGCCTGCTGAAATAAGGATTGCAGAACCACTCTTCTGAGGCCTGCGTCCACTCTGGAAGATGTGGCAATAGAAACTGTGGTCCATGAACATGGTCGACTACATGGCAGCCTTGCAAATGTCCAGTATGAAAAATGTCACTTAGGGATGCCATTTATGTTGCTTGCACGCTTCATGGACGAGACAATGTCCACTGAGGAGGTGCAGCTGAAGCTCTCACATGCAGCCCTGATACAGAATTGTATCCACTTACAGATGGTTTGGGCACAGACTACTTGTCTCCTAAAACAGTCCACACAGGACTCCAACAGGCAGGGTGGAACACAAAACAACTTAATTCTGTCTAGACATTGCTTGACTTCCCAGGTAGAATAGCACTTCCTACTCCGGAAGGGTATGGCTGTTCTTCCATGGGGGAAAAAACCTCAGGAAAATACACCACCTTATTCAGATGAAACCGAGACCACCCTGGATAAAACTTTAGGTCTGGTCACAGCGTCACACTCCATTCTTCAAGGATAAGGTAAGGCAACAGTGTCTGCCACTTGCACACCAGGAATAAGGTTTCTGAGACAGGAGGGGCAGCAGGTTTGAGTGGAGAAGCCCATCAGAGTTGCCAGAATGACAGTTAGGTCTCACAAGGGAACCAGTTCTTGGACCATATGGCATCAGAGAGGGCTTTAGATTCTTCAGGCATAGGATGTTTTTCCTGGAAGAAGGCTTACTACGAAGAGATCTGCCTAACAAAGACAAGGAATAGCATCTTTGTAGGCAGGCTTGATAACCTAGTGAGGAGGGCTTTAAACTAGGGTCACTGAGGAATGGTAACCTAAGCCCTGGAGTAAATGGGGAAGTGGGATACTGGGAGGAAACATAAGGAAGAAGGTGCAAAAGTCTCCTGATTCACACTAAGTAGGGAAATAAGCTAGGTCCCTTAGGTGCCTGTACATGAACACAAGAAGTCTGGGGAAAGACTTGAAAGCCCTGGCACAGTCAAGGAACTATGATATGACTGGAATAACAGAGACTTGGTGGGCAGCTCACATGACTGGAGCACTATCCTGGATGGGTATTAACTGTTCAGAAAGCACAAATGGGAGAAAAGGTGGAGGAGTTGCACTGTATGTAGAAGAGCTATACGACTGCTCAGAGCTCCAGTATGAAACTGGAGAAAAGCCTGTTTAGATTCTTTTGGTTATGAGGAGAGGCGAGAGCAATAAGGCTGATGTTGTGATGGGCATACGCTACAGACCACCAGACCTGGGGGATCATGCAAACAAGGCTTTTCTTTGAAGAGCTAACACAAGTTTCCAGATCACAGGACCTGGTTTTCATAGGGGATTTAAATCACCCTGATATCTGTAGGAAGAGCAATACAGCCATGCACAGAGTATTGGGGACAACTTCCTAGTGCAAGTGCTGGATGAAACAACGAGGGTCATGCTCTTCTTGACTGAATGCTCACAAATAGGGAAGAACTGGTAGGGGAATTAGAAGTAAGTAGAAACCTGGGCAGCAGAGACCATGAAATAGCTGAGTTCAGGATCCTGAGGAAAGGAGAGCAGAAAAATATAGACACCGGACTTCAGAAAAACACTTTGGCTCCTTCAGGGAACTGATGGGTATAAGAACAACCATAGTGGGTCAGAACAAAGGTCCATCTAACCCAGTATTCTGTTTTCTGACAGTGGCCAATGCCAGATGCCCCAGAAGGAGTGAACAGAAACAGGTAATCATCAAATGATCCCTCTCCTGTCATCCATTTTCAGCCCCTGAAAACAGAGCCTAGGGACACCATTCCTACCCATTTTGGCTAAAAAGCATGGATGGACCTAACTTCCATGAATTTATCCAGTTCTTTCTTGAAACCCGTTAAAGTCCTGGTCTTCACAATTTCCTCTGGCAAAGAATTCCACAGGTTGACTTTGCACCGCATGAAGAAAAACTTCCTTTGTTTATTTAAACATGCTACCTATTCATTTCATTGGGTGACCCCTAGTTCTTACACTATGAGAGCAAGTAAATAACTTTTCCTTATTCACTTTCTCCATACCGGTCATGATTTTATAGACCTCTATCATAACCCCATCTTCCCTCTTTTCTAAGAATAAAAATCTAAGTCTTTTCAATCTATCTTCCAAACCCCTAATCATTTTCATTGCCCTTTTCTGAACCTTTTCCAATGCCAATATCTTTTTTGAGATGCAAAGACCACATCTGTACGCAGTATTCAAGATGTGGGCGTACCATGGTTTTATAGAGAGGCAATAAGATATTTTGTGTCTTATTCTCTCTCTTTTTTTTAAAATGATTCCTAACATTGTTTGCTTTTTGACTGCCACTGCACACTGAGTAGATGTTTTCAGAGAACTATCCACAATGACTCCAATTAAGATCTCCCTCTTGAATGGTTATAGCTAACTTTGCCCTCATCATTTTGTATGTGCACTTGGGATTTTTTCCAATGTGCGTTACTTTGGCTCCTTCAGGGAACTGATAGGCAGGATCCCCTGGGAGGCTAATATGAGGGGGAAAGGAATGCAGGAGAGCTGTCTGTATTTTAAAGAAGCCTTATTGAAGCACATGAACAAACCATCTACAATTTGCAGAAAGAATAGAAAATTTGGCAGACAACAGGAAGCTTACAAGAAGTGGAAACTTAAGCAGATGACTAGGGAGTACAACAAAAATATTGCTTGTGTATGCCGGGGTATAATCAGAAAGGTGAGAGCACTACTGGAGTTTGAGCCAGCAAGAGACATGAAGGGAAATAAGAAGGGTTTCTGTGGGAATGTTAGCAACAAGAAGGTGGTCACGGAAAGTGCGAAACCTTTACTGAATGGGGAAGGCAACTTAGTGCCAGATGATGCAGGAAAAGCTGAAATACTCAATGCTTTTTTTGCCTTGATCTTCATAGGCAAGGTCAGCTCCCAGACTCAACATGAAGGACAATGTTTAAACCCGGAAATATTATCTACTGACTATTAATTACCGCTAACTTATTATATACAATAAACTAGGCTAAAACTAAATGCGAGGTTTGGAGTCTACAATCACACCTGGGCAGTGAGAAGGAAGTGAAGGGGGTCAGGTCAGAAGTGGGGAGGAACAATGAGTATTCTCAGAGTATTGGTAGGCAAATGACTCTGCCTCCAGCGTGCTGGGTGCACATACCTAAATGGAATATATATCTGCCTCTACTCAATATCCCCACTAATAAAATGGCCAAAGCCCCTCTCCCTGCCAAACAACCTTCCATCTGATTCCTTGAGGAGGATAACATAATTAGGCTTTCTTTTAGTAGAGGCGAGTATGGCTATTGTAGG